CCCCACCTGAGACACCCCCACGCCTACCCCCGCTGAAAGTTAGTTCCACACTGTAGATACCATTGGTGCTCCCCGGTAATGCTGGGGAACAAATTCAAAACGTTGTATCAGCCCAGTTACGTGGATGATGGTCTGCCCGGCCAGGCGCGCTCTGCTGACCTGGGTCCCCCTTTGGTGGGGGCAATTGCATGGCGCTTCAGTTCTCAGAAATCTGATCACACAGTGCACTGCTCAAAAGTGCAAACATCAGAAGTTAGCCTCGTGTGGAACCGCCTATAAAGCTGACAGTGAGACCTGTTCTATTATAAACTGTGCCCTTAGCAATATTTGACTTTACCAACACTGAATTCGTAATTACATGATAGTCCTAGCAGCTTTCTGACCCAACAAACAGGATTTTTTAAAATTCCAGAATATAAATGAATCCCTCCAATACTGTAAACAAAGCACGAGCTGCAGAAACCTCCGCCCTGTGAGTGCCTCTGCCTTGGGGAGGGCCGGAGGGAGGGGTCAGACGGAGGTGGGTGCTACAGATACAGCTGTAGCCGCTTCCTGTCTGTCCTCTGGGAGATGTGGCAGCGAGGGCTGGCACCCGGAGGGTCCCCTCACCGCGAGAGAAAAACTTTGAGGGATGGCTGAGCCCACTGCTGTTCTCTTGGAGAAAGTCAGAATTCAGACTGCCAGATGGGAAGTGGGTTCCAACCTGGCTCTTCTCTAGTGCGGTGCGAGTTCACAAATCAGGAATCGCAGACCCCGGTGGCTCCCCAGACGTGAAAGGCTGCGACCTGGCTTCAGGAGGCCCTCTCACCCCTTACCCAACACTTTCTGCACAACCTGCAAAGGCACCACGACCCTCGGAGAGAACTGGGCCAACGGGCTGCAAGCTAGCTCAGGTTGTAAAAAGGCCCCTGCAAAGATAGTGTTTCCAGCAACTGGGAGCTTAAAATGAAACTCTGTTCGAGCCTGTTTATTCTTCCTGAACAGCCTTGGCCCTCCAGGGGGAACTGTCGCTGGGGGCACCGAAGAGGGTTTTAAATGTGCAGCGCCAGTTCTGTGGCTGGGGCGTGGGAGGCGGAAGCAGGACAGCACCTGGTCCCTCTCTCCTGACTAATGTGACACACACCACCCAGGCATCGCCACGTGTTGCTCCTACCGCACCCAAAGTGTGAACCTCAAAGAGCTACTGTCTACACAGGACACGGCTCTGCTGTCTTTTTTTCAATGGTTTTGCACAACCCATTGGATTGTTTAAACACCTCCAGAGAGCATTTAGAAAACAAGTGCCGGGCCGGCCGAGTGGCGCGATGGTTAAGAACTACCTTGGGACGCCAGAGGGCCCCGATTCGGATCCCACATATGAGGGCCAGTGACACTGCCCTCTACAGCTAAGATGCTAAACAGCAGCTCAACCTGGAGCTGGGCTGCCATGAGTCGTGGCGACGGCGTAGGCTGCAACCCCTGTGGCAGTGGGTTGCCATGGGCTACCATGTGTAGCCNTGATGTAAACAATCCACTTCTCATCACCAGTTATCAGTTGCTTCAAAAAAGGATCGTTTTCCTCACGTTTAATGAGCATATTGCAGATGTTTATACGCGCCGTCAAATGAACTTCTTTGAGTTCATGTGGAATCCAAATATCGAGCTTGCTTACATATCCCAGCTTCTTCAGGTGGTCGTGAACACTTGAGTGATGGATGTTCAATGTTTCTGCAATCTCTCGTGTCATGTAACGTGGGTTTAACTAGATCAATGCCTTTATTTTGTCATCATCAACCTCGGTGGGCGTCCCTGACCAAGGAGCATTGTTGAGATCAAAATCACCAGTACGGAGTTTTATGAACCATCGTTGGCACTGACGTTCTTGTAGGGCATTGTCACCGTAAACTTTGTGCAACTTTTCACAAGCTTGACACGCGTTCTTCCCTTTATGGAAGTGAAACAGTAAAATATGGCAAAAATACAGAGTTTGGTCTTCCATCTTCAACTTGTTGTAAAATCTCCAAAACTCAACCAAATCGCTCAATTTTTTTTAGAATGAAGCTACAACTGTCAGCTGTCAAATGACATAGCATTTGCTATGCGAATGACTAGTACTTCCAAAAATGAACTAGTGCCATCAGTTGCAAACATGCGTCATGACTTTTCCAACAACCCAATAGTTTTAGCAGATGTTTTATCTTTCTACTAGTTTGAAACTAATGCTCTTCTCCTAACCCAAAATTAATTTATCCACTCTCCTCCCAAATTACCAGGTCCCCCGGACGTATCACCTGTGTGATCCTCCTCACCCAGTCAGTGTCCATGACACTGTCACACTCACACGTTCTTTTCTCCGTTGGCCCTTCTGGCCACCCCTCGGTGCCCGCCACCGGCTGGAGCAGTGGATGTCCATGTGGCTTTCCTTGCTGCACCTCCTCCCTCGTGTGTGGTTTCCCACTCACCCCCACCCAGCTCAGCCTCTAGCCGTGCATTGTGCAGGCTTCCTGAGAGATGTTTCCTGGCGTGGAACTGGGTGGCGGCCACCTAGGAGAGGCCCTGTGCACGCCTGGCTTCTGCTGCCGCAGCTGAGGGATAGGCCTCCCCCAGGCCCCTTCCCTCCTTGTCCTGTGGTCATCATCACACTCTACCCAGGGCTTCGGGGAGCAGACGGATCCAGCCCTGCTCACCGGAATTGGAAGACAACGCGTCTCTTGTCACTATTGTGTTGCCTGGCATTACTGTTGTCTGACCTTGTGCTGTAATTTATTTGTATAATTTCAGCCAAACTGAAATCCATAAAGGAGGTTTTGCATTTTTCTGGACCGGACTTGCAGAGACTGACGGGCCTCTCCAGCCCTGACGTGCAGCACTTGCTGAGCACAGCCTCCTCACACTTGCGGGGCCGCTGTGTGATCACAGGTGGGCAAGGACGGGTCTGCCCTGCTAGCGCCCTGGGGCATAGCTGGAGCCCTCGTCCCTGCCAGGAGCTGAGGGCCATGTGCACAGGCAGCACCCAGGAGGAGCGCGGGGCGGCGTGGCCGTGGTGGCCGCACGGATCCGGTGTGCCGGGGACCCTCGCTGGGTTCTGGGGCAGGACTAGGCTGAGGGGCGGGCGCAGGAAGCGGGGGGCGTGGCTAGCAGGGCGTCTGGCCCCGCCTCTCCCTCCGGCCCTGCCCACCTGCCTGCCGCCCTTCCCTCCCCAGCCCTCGACCTGCACACGCACCGGGAGAGGTTCCCGGCGCAGCACCAGCGCCTGAGCCTGGGCTGCCCGGTGCTGGACGGGCTCCTCCGCGGCGGCCTGCCCCTCGATGGCATCACCGAACTGGCAGGATGCAGCTCGGCCGGGAAGACCCAGTTGGCTCTGCAGCTCTGCCTGGTGGTGCAGTTCCCACGGCAGCACGGAGGCTTGGAGGCCGGTGAGTAGCTCTGGCTGGCAGCGGGCGGGGGTCAGCTCTGTTCTTGGGCATCTTCCATGAAGGTTGGGACCAACGGCCAGTTCCTACAGTTCGCGTCTTCTTCGCGCCCCTTAGCAGTCCCTTCAGAAGTGAGGGGACCTTGTAGGAGCAGCGCCCTCCTGACCAGCCCCTGCCCCCACGCGGACCTGGAGGTGGTCCCTGGCTGACACAAAGCCCCCTGGCGCTGTGAGGCTGATGCGCTCACACACCNCCAGCCCACGGGCCCCGGCACCACAGGGCACAGCCCCGGCCCAGAGCCCGTGTCTGGGGGCAAAAGTGCATTTTCACCAACAAGCAGCCTGTGCCACGAGGTAATATTTAAATTACAGAAAACTTTTAAAGAAAATTTAAAGTCCAGCCTCACTGTGACAAAACCCCCGTGGCTGCTGCCTCCAGCCCATGTCCACGCTCAGGCTGAAGGGCACATGGAGTCAGGGCACCCCCAGAAAGAGCCCCCCCCCAGTGAGATCCCCCAGAGAGCCAGCAGTGAGTCCCAGCAGAATCCGGAGTCCCGTTCCCTCCCCAGGCAGGCACAGGGAGCCCCGTGAGCGCTCTCCCCAGCCCAGTGCTATGCACGAGGCAAGGTCACTAGGAATGAACGAAAACCAGGGCCCTTGCTGATACCGCCTGTGTCACGGCATTAAAACAAAACACACGTAAAGCCTGACAGCATTTCCCGAGGCCGCCCACCCAGTTTGTCCGACTGCCACCAAATCTAAAGGATGACTCTTCAGCTCATCAGCGCGGAGGTGCCCTGATACGTTGTCGTCGTCTGGAACTACAGTCCTGTCACTTGTTTAGCATCTTCTGAACCTACTGGTGAGGCCCACGACCCCCTTCAGGGATAATGCCTCGGGGTTGACTTGAAAATGTTCCCGTCACAATCCGCTGTTTCCTAACTCCACAACAAATGCTTTTCAAATGAAAACATGCACCTCTACCTACAGGGCCAGGAGAAAACTGGCTCCAGGGGTGGCCGTGGGCGCCCAGGAAGTGTCCAGCAGGACGGTCTAGAGTGGGGCCTGGGAGCGGTGCCCAGAGGGAGCGGAAGCCACCTGCAACTTATTCCCTTGTCCTGTTTCTCATCGCCCATTTCCCCTAAATGCCAGGTGCCAACCACTGCGCGGATCATGAGATCATGAGACAGACTCTCCTCTCAAAGGATGTAGCTTAAGGTTCCTGATTCTTAATTTACAACCTATTAAGTACTGTATTCCAAATCTAAAATTTAAAACAGGTCTGGTGTCGTGTCCGTGACCAGAGGCCGGTTCCGAGCGCGCTGAAGCCAGCTGCCAAACCACATCTGCCCTGGAGTCCCCGGGGCCACCGCGCCTGCCGGGACTCATGGTTATGCTTCGGCCGCGCTCGGGCACTAGGAAACAGAACTCGGGGCGAGCCTCCCGTGGGTGGTGGAGGTCACTATCTAGAGAAGGAAGAGCGGAGGGGCCTGGCGGAGCTGTGAGGGCCTCAGGGCTCCGTTAGTCTCAGGTTTATCTAGCTCGGCCTCGGCCCGCAGTGGGCCAGGTCAGTGTGGCTGGCACTCAGAGCTCTGGAGTCTGCTAGACAATTATCTCGTTCCTGCATGAAAAAAACAAATGGAAAAATTATACTCAACCAGTACTTTGAATGATGCCAACTTAAGTGGTCTCAGCTCTAACAATAAAGCTGCATGGCTCTAAGGCAGCACAGAGTCCTGATGCTCAAACGGGCAGGAGCAAACCCCAAGCAAGGGGAACGGGAGGACGGGTCCCCTGCAGGCCCTTTAAAACAAAGCACCTTCTTTTAATGTCATGACCAGGAGCACTTAAAGCAGAGCACCAGCCTCCTACCAACATCTTGTAGCTTCTCACCAGAGGCCGAGTGAAAGGCACCCTGGGGAACGGTCACTCCCACGGGTGCTGGGGTGAGGAGGGGTCAGCGTATCTGCCAGGCCCGCTACTGTCAGTGAATGTCAGTTTATTGGCTGGATTTGGGAAGCTGGGGAAGCTGCTGGCTCAGGAGGTGCAGTGACCAGGAAGTCTGGTCCCCAGCAGACGAGCGGTAACCGCTAAGGCACAAAAAGCTCTCTTTTGCATGAGCTCAAGCTGCCTGATCTGCTCGGCACACTTGAGGAACAGGGCCAAGTTCCAGGGCCCAGAGGCCTGGCCGTACCCACCCAGTCACACCAGACATTTAAAAGAAGTAGAAAATACACAGGCATTTTTTTAAAGTGAATAGGTCCACCAGTGTTAAATGTGAAGGTGACCTGTCCATGAGAGACTTGCATAGCTGACAATGTGCTCAAGATTGTAGTGTCCAAGTAACAGTGTGTCAGTTATTTATGTCAGTAAAGTTCTGAATGGTTTGAAAACATTGAACAACAGCTAGACAATAAGTTAGTTATAAACTCGTTAAGAGGCCAAAATGATACAAATTAACAATACAGATAGTAGCTGGCCAAGTCGATACTACTTTATCAGAACACTTCGTTTTTAACTAGGTCAAACTGGAAAGCTCATCCATTAACACAGAGAATGTTCACAGCATGACTGTCCCCACAATTCAGTCAAGTGAATGCAGCATAAGGAAGTGTCACCATGATGCCTGTCGTCTAAGAACCAGAAACACACCAGTGCTGGCAAGGTCCGGCTGAAACAGCAGGGCGCAGCAGCCCGGGTCAAGGGCGCTAGGGGGCAGGATTCCTTACTTGGAGACGGTCTTCTGCTGCCTTGCCACCCACGTTAAGGACATTCAGAGAACTGGCACGCTTCATGCTGCAGCCGGGGCAGTGGACATGCAAGGACAAACGATCAGCACACGGTCAACCAGGAGCAGGAAACACAGCAAAGCCACCCCTCCAGGGCCTGTCACCACCAGGGGTCCCTGGGACCATCCCTGAAGGACTGGGGCCTTCGTCTCACTGGGGCTGGGATGTCCCCACCCAATTCTTAGCATGGACGTCCCAGGTCCAACTGTATTTAACGCCCACTAGAGAAAAGCACAGTTTCTGTGTGTCTTTCTCAATAAAAATAGTTTTCTTAAAGCACCACATGCAAACTCCAAGTGTCACTGTATTTTCACTTTTAAAAACCTGGCTCATAGGAGCCAAGAGGCTCGGCCAACACAGCCCGCTGACGCAAGCAAGGGAGTCCACAGCGCCTCATCAGACAAGTGTCAGGAAGGGGCCTCAACGACCCATTACCACTCATCACCCTAAGTGACTGTGCTGAAGACAGACACGCTTGATACTCACTGTTGAGATCAAATGCCTAAATGTATTTTATGTATTGTATTTTTCTGTATTAAAAGTAGGGAAAAACATTCTTCATTAGTAAAATAAACTTGGAAGCTATTACTTCTCTGCTTAGAAATCAAAACTTAAAACAAATTTCACTTTACATTTAAAGAAATATAGTGATTTATACATATATTTAATTTTTTCTCCTATGGGCCTTTTTAAAATACTTGATGAAATATCCTACGAATTACCTAGAACCTAAACTTAAATTATGGACAATCATAAAATTACTGTAATTGCTTACCACCATCGCAGATGTCCTGAAACAGAAAGTCACCTTAGCTTTTAAAGCTAAAATAACCAATATTAGGGGTTATTTCTAAGTGTTGCCAACAGGATCTGTAATTCTGAATTTGAACTCCCTATGACATAAACAGTGAACACTGATATCTACTCCATGAGGTGAAGGCATGGCTGTGAGGTCCAAGCACAGGCGTGAAGGGTTAGTGCAGCCAGACAGACACAGGACCAGGTAAGGCCCAGGGCATGGCCGACGTGACCGCCGGCACCATGAGAACAGCCCGGCCAACGCCAGACACTAAGTTCTCAGTGAACAAACTACACCAAAAGCAAAGACCTCAATGTATTCGTCCTGAGTAAAGCTCACTCCCAAAGTGTCACAACCAGGACAAAACAAAACATCCCAAAGCACCCCACCCCAATTTTCCGAAATAAGTGTTTTGAACACTGGATAAAATCAAACCAATCCACAAGTAAATTCTATTCTGGAAGATTTAATTATTCTATTACTTAATTGGCCAGTGAGCTTTTTCTGAGAACGCTACACAACCCTTTTCTTCAAACTCCATTTTCCTTATGCGACAAAAGAAAGAACAAGTTGACTTCCTGACTCTTCCCAACGGCATCCACACTATTCACCTGAGCCTGTGGTTGTCGAAACCAGAAGTGGCCAGTAACTCATGGGAAATGGCACCTAGCTCACCAGAAGTGGCACCATAACTCACCTGAGAGGCGCAGTAACTCTCCAGCTGTGCCCCGCCCTCCTGGGAGCTGCAAACACCTCCAGGAATGCCTAGTAAGTGATTCTCAAAATCTGGTCCGGGACCAGGACCAGCAGCACTATGACTACCAGGAGATTGCTAGAAAGGCAAATCGGGAGAGGGGGCGCCGCTGTACCGGCAACTCAGGGGCGTGGCAAACCCTCCAGGAGATGCTGACGCACACTCCCATTTGAGAACCCTGGTCCAGTTAATACAAACTCGCTCTTACCTGGAAAGACTATTCCATCTTATGGGATGAACTGTCCAAAGTCATTTAGTTTTTCAGAAAGTTCATTAAGATATCATCTCAAATAAGATGATATATGAAAAGGTGAGAATATGCAATTTTATTTTACATCAGGCCAGGCTGGCAAAGCACTGTGAGTCTTTACCATATCGGGGCTCACACACTGTTACGTCATGGTAAAGACAGAAGGAAAGGCATGGCAGAAAAGAGAAAAGCTCTGAGCTGTCACATGGGAAGGGAGGTCCATGTCACAGGACCTAGCATCAGAAGTGGACTTTGCATTTAAAAAGCTTCAGAACATCCAGAACCTCAGGTAACCAGTGCAAATGCGCTGGAGGAACTAAGTGACGGCCTGTGTAGAGGACTGGGACGCAAAGCCACCTCACTCCTTAAGAGTCATCACAGGAGTGGGAACTAAGCGATCACACAACAATCTGTTCAGACCCTCATGACACTACATAAGGAAAAATGTTTCCTTCTTCAGAATTCAGAGAGGCAGATAATAAGTAGCCTATCGTGTTAGTTCTGGAAATCCATAAATATTTTAAAGCAAGAGCACTTTATGCCAAGGCAATTTAGAACTTGCTTCCCCAAATCCACGCTCATGTGTCACCACAGGCATTCGGGCAGCAGCGATCTGCGGTGAAGCCCCGCACACTCAGGGCCCCAGCTGGCTTCCCACACAGGGTCTTCCAGGTGGTTTTCTCAGCAAATGTCATGGCGCTCACAAAACTCCTCCCAGAAAAGGGCTTGTCAACACTTCTGAGAACCAGGGCGACAGCCACTCATAAAACCCCAATGGTTCCTCTTGCCTCAAAAGCCATCAAGAGACCCGTTCTACCACAAGCAGAGAGCTGGCGGGGCGCACTGAGCGGAGGCCCTGGCCCTGCATCCTCACCGCACAGGGCCTGCTCCCCAGCTGAGGAGCCGGACAGGGGGTGCCTGGGTCTCAGCAGTTGGACCCTAACTAACAACGACAGGAATGAGACCGGGCATACCTTAAACTAGCGAAGGGAACAAGTAACGGCTTGTCATTTAACATTTCCAGGATGTCAGCCCAAGGAACTTGGGCTCAGTCCTAAGCTGTCAGAATTCTTACCCACAGAACTTAAAGTAGAATCACATTGAAAATACGGTTTTACTAAGAATCAATATTTAAAAAATAGTTGCCATTTTGAAAGAGTTTCACGAACAGCTGACACAACAGTGCTTCTGTGAGAAATATATCCCAAAACAGGAGGCATTTACTCCAGAAATAACCCAGTAACCAGGCCATTTGCTAACGCTCTAACAGGAGTACAAAGAACCCTACTTCCAACACACCTTTTAAGAACAAAGAATATCTTAGAACCAAATTCCTTTGACAAAATGTTACTGTTCAAAACACTCCAAAACCCATAACTGAAACCCTTTTTTTAAACACATGGAAAACCTAACATTTTTTAAATCTCCTAAAGAAACTCCCTATAAAAGTCTTGAATTGTGATCCTTCTATTTAAAACCATTTCCCTCCCTGTATTAATACCTGTATGAAATGTAATATAGTCATACCTAGCTTTTGATTTTAAAAGATTAAAACTAATTTAAAACTAATGCTAATTTTAAAAATGCATATCTAGAATAAACAAGTGAATATGCTTAATGTTTTAATATTAAAGTCCTACTATTCATTGCTAAGGCTTTCTTTTCACCTGTAACAAAATCAAAGAATTCTACAAATTTCTTTTAAAGGCATCAGCCCTTCTAGCCCCTAAATGGGAAGTTTCATAATTATCCTCAACCTATCCTGGAACAACGCCAGGCCGACACTGCTAAAGCTTTTCATTGCTAAAACATGGGAGAGGAGCTGGAACATTTCCTGCAGTCTGGGTGAGACGCTGTGCTGGAGGAAAAATGGCTGTTAGACACTGCGCGGCGGTGGGCGGGCGGGCGGGTGGTCAGCGGGCAGGAGATAATTACCCAGGGTTCTTTGGCTCACTCTCTCGGGAACTTCCTCCCTTCAGCTTCCTAACCAGCTTCTCACTGCTGCGTCTAATTGAGGCCCGGAGTTTGCTAAAGGAACCACTGCGTTTTAAAGATCCAGTGCCATCCTGAAAAAAACGTGAACAAATGTGAAGCTGCAGGTGGTCCTCCCTCCCAGCCCCCATGAGGCAAAGTTGAATGACAATGCCCATCGCATGGTGGCTGACCTGCTCATCTGTGACTGCTGGTAATACGATTCCTACAGACATTACCAATTTGCCATGTATGTAAGTACACTTTAAATAGAAATCTATGCATTTTAAATTCCATCAAAGATAATCTAATGATCATGAAAACCTTTGAACATGAAAAATATCAAACAAAAATAACATCCCCAAGGGGAAATTAATTATGCTGCTGTTTTGAAACAAAATTGCATAGCACACACAAAAAAATCTCAAGAAAATTAAGGCAGCTTCGAGGACTATCACCAAAATCAAATTTCACATTTAATAAACACGAGAGTGTCTGGTCCACGTAACAGGTATGGAACCCAAAACAATAAGATCTGACAGAGGTAACTTCCTTTGATCAATTTCATCTGAACGTAATACTTAGATATACTGTTTTTTCAGTAAATTTTAATGAACAGTTTTATTAAGTGTTGATTATAATGTGATTGGAAAAGTAAATAAAATGCTCATTCTATACAGTAACTAAAAACCCTCAGACACCTTGTAGAAAGCAAGTAAGAGTGCCCAGCCTTCATCATAATTGATTCAGACATTAATAAACATTTGGCAGTATGAAAATCAAAAACACAGCAAAAGAAATGTGTGCACAGCAACTTTTATTCTCAGAATGAATCACTTAGTAAGATTAACAGTAGCCCCATTCCTTCTAGAAGCTGCGCGATGCTGCATTCAGTGGGAGGAGTGAGAAATTCGAAGCAGACAGACACCGAGACACAGGTCAGTTGGAGTGAGTTTATTAGAAGTTAGAAAGACACAAGTACACAGATCACTCAACACATAGAGATTAGTAGAGAAAAGCAGAACTGCCAAAATTCCACACACAGACTACAGAGCCAATGCTACTGGAGCGTGGCGCTGAGGGGGGCGCCGGGCCCGGGGCAGCCTCGCCAGGCCTCTGGGTACATGTGGGAGTGGCTCATGCCCTATTCTTACAGCCTGGAGGTGTCGACGGGCACCATCATGCCATTGCAACAACACCTGTGGGAGGCTCGGAACTACCTCTTATCAAAGTGAACAGCTAATCGCTCTTAACTAGTAAGCTCATGTATTACACAGTAAGTGGTTTTTATTAATACAATTTATATTACTAAGTACATATCTGGCAAAGCTACAAGTATACAGAGATGAAGAACCCCCCAAAAAGGACGGCAGCACCGAAAGGAATGGCCAGTCACAGAGGTGGAGCTCTGACAAGAATCCTAGGGGGTCGCTAAACACAGCAGTGAGCACGGAGAGGAGGGGAGCTGGAGGACGTGCCGCCCGTCATGCAGGAGACAGTGAGAGTCACAAGGCAGCTAGGCCTGTCAGACAGAAACGGAGAGAGAAAGCCCAGGTGAAACGTGTGAGAAAAGAGCCGCTCTTCTACCTAGCATGGCAGGGCTTACAGTATTTCTAGGTCACAAAGCTGAGCAGGTTTAATCACTTTAGTGCTGGGGTTATCTTCTGCCAGCTCTGGCAGCCCAGTAGAAAACGGGTACTGGGGCCTTAGGTTATCTTTTACAACATCCGGTCTAGGTACTCCTAACCAACATCAAAATAAAATTCAACATTTTTAGAGCATGGATTAGCACTGTGCTAGAAATCTTCTTTGATACTTAACGATAAAAAGGGTTTCAAGTAACTGTACATAAAGGAGATTCCGCAATGAAAAACATCAGTAATGACCAAGAAAGGCTACACACAGGAAGAGCTCCTTTTTAGCTTAAACTTCATCAGAAATTCTTTCATGGCCCTAAACTAGAAAGTTCTCTCTGAAATCAGGCAGGACTTTCTCTTTAAAACACTAACATTTTTGACATTTCAGAAACTTGAAGAAACCACTGACTTCAAAAGTCTCTATAGCACATTTTAAACATGCAGTTGATAATCCAAAATAAAATGAGTTATACAAAATGGATTTCCACAGGCAGCAATGCATCGTGGGTCCTGGTGGACTGGAGACCCGACAGTCTTGTACCGAAGTCCCAGACGGCAGGGACCTGAGCCCGGCCCGTTCTGACTCACCATGGGACGCTGAGCAAGTCATTTAACCAGCCCGAGCTTCATTTTTCTCATCTTTAAAATGGAAAAATAAAACTTGTTACCAACTCCCCACAAATGTTGGGAGGACAAGAAAACATAAGTTCTTGCTTCTCTTCAGAAAAAGGACGTTAAAATGTTGATGTAATTCCGTAAACAATATAACTCCTGCCGTTCATTTCAAAGTTCAGTGCGACACTGCAGTTGGGCTATTTATGTTACTCGTGTCCTAGACACGCAGCGGAGTGTGGGAGAGTAGTTTACTCTGATTCGAAAGGACCTCGTGTCCAACTCCCCCCTCCTCTCTGTCCACCCTGCAGCCACAAGCTGACCCGGGGCTCTGAGCAGTGCCCGGTGCCTGGCGGCCCAGGAGGGGGTCTGCCCACCCCTGCGCTCATCACCTAGAGTCCCACCTGTGAGAACCAGGGGTAAGGACAGCCCCAAACCCGCGGGAACCCAGACCGATTTCTATCCACACGGCTTGAAGGCCGGGAGGTTTCACCGCATCCTAACATTTTCACAAATGGTCTACTTCTTCATATTGCCGTGAAAGAGTACTTACATCAAAAAGTGAGTTTCTAACAGAAATGAATAGTGAAGTGTACTGGTTAAGAAATGTGCAGCAGTAATGACTGCCTTGGATTTCTGGTGTTTGAGTTTATTTTTTTGGCATATTCTAGTTGTCTTCCTAATATACTTTTCAACACATTGAACACAGAGCATTTAAATATAGAGACATAAATCTGCATCACCAATCCACAATGTGTTAAGTAAAAATTAATCTATTTCTAATGAACAGTATATGCATTCCCCAGTAATCCTGGTCAAGAGTTTAGTGTATGAAAAGCTTTTAGGAATACAGCAGGGAGCAGCGTGCAAAGAATGGGGAGGTGGGAGCGGGCTACTCCCAACGGACAGGAGAGGCCGGCAGCCTTCCGGAAAACGGCAAGCACAGCACAGATCCCGGGACCGGGACAGGTGTGCTGTTTCCCGCTGCAACCATAGGCACTTAATGCCGGCGTGGCCCGCAGGCCCCCACGTGGCCCGGGGGGGACCCGGGGGCCAGTGCCTGACACGTGTAGGCCTCCCAGGCAACCTGAAGCCACGTGGGCGAGGGTAAGGGGAATCCAGTTTTATCTAGAAAGATTGCTTTGCACACAACCTCTGCGTTTGTATTGTAGAAGCAGGGCATAAAAGAGCACTGACTCGGACATGTCTTCACAGTGACTTTTATATCTGTGCTTTATACAGAAATAAGTATGAGGAAGTTACATTTTCACATCTTCAATCACAATCTTGATGGTACATCCTTAAAAGCACAGAGCTGCACTTCCCTAAACACATCGTCTACCGTGTCAAGAACCTAGCCATTCACGGGAGGGCTCTGCTCGAGTCCAGGAACCTGCCTTTTCTTCTATTTTAATGGTACGTAACTCAGTTCTGTGCTGGCCTGGACCTTCAGGACCTACCGGGAGTGATTATTCTAACCGAGTGTATGACCTTATCTTTGACGACAATGCCCTTTGTTGTAAATGTTATTTCTGAGCGTGGGGGAGCCCCGCCTCGTGGCCGTGTAAGTGGTAATAACTGAATGGAGCTAGCGTGCCCGCACCCTGCACCCTGCCACCTGCCCAACACAGCTACACAATGCTACTCCCTGTGCTAGCAGTTTTCAAACTTTTTAAGGAGTACTGAGAATCCTTTTTAAACAATTAAAATCTAATGCAAAACCCCAATATGAAAAAAAATCTAACTGGCATTTTCTCATTATAAATCTGTGCCAAGTTCTTAGAATAATGCAGTAAAGCAGTAAGAACGACACTACCTCTGAAAGCCCCAATTTGAAATGGGAAGCTACAGTGACAGGGAGAGTCCTGCTGTCCACCCATCTCCCAGTTCACTTCTGCAACATCTCGGTGCACACAGATAAACGCTGCCGGTGGTAGCCAATGGCTTTTAAACCATTTGGCTGGCAGTCTCAGGGGGTCAGCACACACACACAGACCACGTCGGACCCTCGTCTCACGCCTGGACCAAGACTAAAGTGTGCACTGCAGGGCATGACCCTTAAAGTGGGCCTTTGGTTGCATATGACTGTACCTCAAAGAAGATGATTTAAAATCACCTACGTGTGCATACTGCCCTTATTGCCTCTTTTTAAATAATAGACGTATGCTTTACAAAGAAAACTCATGTCAAATTTTGGGAGAACCTCAGCATTACCTTCTGAGACTTGGAGCTTAAGGAAACCTGTGTGAAAGCCCAGGCCTTCCTGTGAAGGTGACAGTGGCTGAGTGTGACCATGGGCCTGGGGTGCCCCTCCCAGACTACTCGGGGCTTCATGCTACCCCTCCACTTGGGGACAGGGCTCCTTCTGCCGCTCAAAGTGAGTCTGGGGACCGCTGCACTAAACCCTTTCCAGTCAATTGACCCCATGGCCATTCAGCCCTGGGACAGAGCCTGTCAAAGATGCAGAGCCACTCGTGTCTAAAAGTCACATAAAATGGTGCCCAGAGTCCAGTGTGCGAGCATGCTAAGTGACAGCATGTCCCAAGTGAGGGAGGAAATGTGAACTAGAAGGGAAGGGGAGCCAGCTCGCACTCCCAGGAGGGACTGCTGCTCCCCCGTCGTCCGTAATGCCAGCCCACCAACCCTCCACGGCGGGTGAGGGCAGCTCCCCTCAGCCCTAGGTCTCAGACTTTAGACGGTAACAAAACTTTGAGTTGTCCATAATTTTGTTATGTGATTTCATAGGAATATTGACCTAGAAATACTGTCTCAAGAGAAAGTTCCTGCAGAACTTCATTCAAGAGAACCACAATCTGCACGCTGGCGTCTGGCGAGAGGAGGGACTTGACCTCTACACAGAGCATGCGGGACAACAGCGCTGGGGAGCAGAGTGCAGAGTGCAGGCCGGATGGGGCGGGGCTGCCCTCATCGGTTTACATCCAGGTCGCTGCCCAATGGGATGAGTGGTCAAAGCACATGCTGATTGGTTGTCTTGGCACAAGAATAACCAAAGCAAGGAAGCGGCCAGACAAAGACGGTCAAAAAGACATTCTCCCTGAAATCCTGACCGCTAACATCCTGCATAAATGTCTACTGAGAATGCTAATCCTTCTCAGGTTATTACAGCTATAGAAAATCCCAAAGAATAAACAGGTTCAAAAATATAGATTATAAAAAAGCCCAAAACTATCTGGCAAGACATGTGCACAATTACAACTAAAAACTACACTACTGAAGCTTCAGAAAAAAATCAATAATGCACATGGATTCATCAGAAGGAATCCTGCATTTCAGCAAAATTTCAAAGATACCAGCTCCATGTACAAAAAAAACTACCCACATTACAAATATTGACTGCAAAGAAAATGTCCACAGGCCCCCAGTCTGGCAGCCACTGGACGAGCAGCAGTGATGAGAATTTCCACAGAAATTCCATGCCAGGGAGGCCCAGGTGTGCGGCCCGGCCAGGCGCTGATGCGTCTCATGGACACACGGTCCGGGTCCAGAAGCCTCTGGCACGCACCTGTGAAGAGCAGTGAACCACGGGCCCCGAGTGGGACGTGACAATCGGGACCGAGGCGGGGCACGCAGAGCAGCCACTTGGCGTCCTTGCTCTTGGCCTGCTCTTCTCTAAAGACACATTCTGTTTGAGCAGCGTTTCCCCTTACGGCACTTAAAGTTAATTCTAACAAAACCTACAGCGGCCTGGTCAGTGAGCTTAGGAGCCCTGGAGTTAGCAATGAAAGTGGGAAGTTAAAAAAGCGAGTTAGTTTTGCCACACTAATCCAGCTATTAAGAAACACCCACGTTAGGGAGTATGCCCTGAACAGCCAGGACACTCAATCAGCATTTAAGCGCTCAAAGTTGAGCCAAACAGCTTTCACGGATTCCTGAGAAGAAAATTACCACTTCAACAAATCAGACTGAGTATTAGCAGGAAGTGAGAACTTAGAAGCAGCTTAATGCATACATAACTGGAGAAAAGCAGGCCTAGCTAAGACGGGGAGACTGCCGGCAGCACCCGTGGGGGGAGGGGGTGACAGGCCGCCGCCTGGGGCACTGGCGACGCCGTGGGCTGTACTCACCCCGTTCCACTCCACGCTCATACTCACTTCCTCGCCCCCGTCAGGGCCGCTCTCGTACTTGACCACGTCTGTGTTGAGACTCTCACGGCTCCGACGCTTATCCGAGCTCTCAGGGTCGTTCAGCACCTCAGCCACCCTCTGTTTGTGAACATTGTCGAGACCCTGCGAGTCAGGCAGGGGACAGGGTTTCAGCCATTAGCACCTGAGTCTCAACTGGGATTGCCAGATAGCTAACCGTCCCCAGGACAAAAGCAAACCCTTCTTAAACACTGGAGGAAAAAGGGGACAGTGACTTTTTCCTGGGAGGACCACTCAGACTTGTGCGTTTCACTCTGCCCATTCCACCTCAACCTGGAAAGCCACCAATGAAGACTGAGTCCAGCTGGTGGCTTGCGGCGCAAGTAGGCAGAAGGAAGTGTATGCAGCACACACATCTGAAAGGCTTCAGAAACGGGACTGGCGGACAGGAGGGCAAGATGCACGAACGTGTGACAAAGTGTTCGTGACAATCCAGGCGGCAGGCACATGGGTGTCGAACTCTCTCAAGTTTTCTGTTTGGAAAGTTTCATGACAAGATGCTGGGAAAATGCCCAGTTTTTAACACTTAAACACTAACCCCGTGATGTTTCATGCCTCCAAAATAAGTACACACATCACTTCATTCTTGGTAGAACAGTTTAAAAACTAGCCACTAATTTACAGGACGCATTTTAAGAGCAAACATTCACGCTTTTGGGAAGCAAGCACGCTCTTATTTTTTCAATAACTTCATGCATATTTCAGTTAACACGTAATAGGATGAAAAGCCAACAGTGACTCCTCCACGTGTATTTCAGTACAATCTGATGACCAAGGTGCGACATGTTTTATGGAATTTCAACCCAACCGGCTCATGCGGATCCTGTACATTCGCTGACTTTCACCATTTTCACCATCCCTCGGGAGGCAAACCCCAGGCCACAAGCTGCTGTGCATTTCCCCTGGCCAAGCAGGAGGGGGCCATCCTCAGTAAAGCAGTAGCAATCCTTCCTTTAAACTTCTACAAGCCGACGCTGGCCCTGCTCCTCTGATAAACATCACTGGGCACTTTAGATCAAAGCTGTACTGTGACATCACTCCTGATGATAACAGGTCGCCTGCACTCCAGAGCTAGAGTGAGCAGCACAGGCCCCAGGGCCCCTCCATCGCCCACCCACGAAGCAGGAGCAGCAGCTCTGCAGTCACAGCCCTGGCCTGGGAGGATGCCAGGGCTTGGGAAGGGGCTGCCCCGGGCACGGCTGGGAAAGCGGCACCAACAATGGCTCTGCAGGTCTCCTCTAACTGAGGCGCAAAGACTTTGGAAAGAAACAAATTCTAAGGTATGTGTGAGCAATTTTAATCCCAGACAAGAAGGAGCCACGAACCAACAACCACTATAAGAGCCTGCCTATATCCCACTTGAGGGGAAAAAACCCACACCTGCCCCTCCGATCCTGAAAATATAAAACAAACTGCATTCTTTATATTTATACAGAAATAATTAACTCCTTGCTCTAACAACTGGTAATTTAAGGGCAAGAATGAAGCCTCTTTCCCGTATTTTCTTTACAAATTGTGTTTCAGCATCCCTAAAACATCTCAGTTGATGAAGGAAAGCGCATCAGTAACTTCGTGCTGCCAATATCCCCAGTAGGGATCACCCGTTAGGTTCAGCCGCTCACCCAGTGGGTGCATGTGGCTGCCGGACCGTGTGTCCCGGCACGCCGCATCCGCACTCAGAGGCCGCACTTCTGCAGTCACCTCCGTGCTGGGTCCCGGGCAACTCTGATCAGCACTCACAGTGCTTCTACTCACTCAGAGGCACGCAGAGAGACAAAAATTCCAGTCGTCGACGTGCACGTCCCCAGCTGAGAGCCAACAGTGTCACGCTCTGCTTTCTTCTTTTATCTCAGTCTGTAAACAAGTGTCCTTCTCCCCTCTACATTACTTAGTGCCATGTTTTCCACATTTTTGTCCTTTCTGTGGTGGTTTCGCTGTGTAAAATGGCCCAGACGCGGAGGCTGGGATGCGTGTCTTGGAGCAATCCCAGGCTGCCTGGGATGAGGCTGCCTTCGGGCATGGGTTACACACAGTGCTACTGCAGTGAATTTGGTGTTCATGAACCAACATGTAGTCTAAATAAGGTGTCTTTAAACAGAAACACACATAAAACAGGTTATGGACTGATCAGTTGATGAAAATGTGATCAGAGGCTGACAGGAACCTAACTGTATTTTCCGCAAGAATTTGCTAATTTATACAAAAGAACTACCATGAATAACAAAATCAGCTGTGTTTGTTTTGAGAACTTGTGTTCAACTTTTTTGGGCACACACCTAGGAGTGGACTGTTGAGTCACACAGTAACTCTGTTTCTCTCTCTGACAAACCGCCAACTGTTGTCCACAGCTGCCGCACCATTTTTCGTTGCCACCAGCAGGGCCCAAGAGTTCCAATTTCCCCACAACCTCGCCAACACTTGTGATTTCCTTTTCGTTTTGTTTTTTACTACAGCCGTCCAAGTGGGTGTGAAGAGGGCTCTCGTTGTACTTTCGAACTGCATTTCCCCAACGACAAAGGATGCTGGGCATTTCTTCACATGCTTGTTGGCATCTGTATGTTATCTTCAGAGAAATGTCTATTCAGGTCCTAAAGCTCGTGTTTTAATTAGGTGGTCCTTTCATCTTTACACCTTCTGGATCTAGGCCCCTTTCAGATGTGTGAGCTGAAAATACTTTCACCCATTCTGTGGGTATCTTTTCACTTTCTTGATAGTGGCCTTGAATGCACACCATTTCTAATTTTGTTGAATCTAACTGATAGAGGTTTTCTTTTGCTGCTTATGCTTTTGGTGTCATATTTATAATCTTTTAAACAATATAATCTTATTTGTACAAACTAAAAGATTTTCTATTTCTGAATCAAGATTTCAATAAGTCTTGTAAAAAGAGAATCATTAGACTCAAAGTTCTAACAGATAAATTAAAAACAGGTTTCCAACTGACCTGTTTGCGTGACCTCATGGCTGCTTCTTCCAGTGTTTCTGCAGCTTCAAATTTGCCCTGACGTCTGTAAAGTGCCCCAAGGTTTTTTAAAGTGGTTGTAACAGTTGGACTACAAGAAAGCATATGATACACAGAACTATTAAATATAAGTTTTACAGCAGCCACTATCAATAGCACATAATCTAAAGCACTAGGAGCAGGGGTTTGATTACAAATATCTTTTAAACTTCTATGGTACTCTTTCCAAATGTAAAATTATCAAAGCTCTTCTGTCTCCTGCACCCTGCCCACCTGCTGTGTGGGGCTTTGCGGGTGGACAGACACTGCCCGCAGACACCTCTGCGGGGTCAGACACACGGTGCTGCGCCGGGTCCCTTCCCGGCCGCTGTCGCAGAACCGTGTATCCGGGTCTGTCTAGTGACCACATGCCTCCCAGAGGATGCGGTGTTTAATTGCTAATTCACTGTTTCCACAAGCAGAGGGGAGACCGAGCAAACCCAAACACCGGCAGTGGAAGGAAGCCTGAACATGTGAGAGAGGACGGAGCACAGACAGGGATGGTGCGTTTCTGCACTCTCGACACAGTGTCTTCTAAAAACTAGAAATAAACCTAGTTCACTCAGACTGCACTTCATGAGACTATTTCCCTACTAGTGGTAGGCGCATTAGGTACAGAATTAAGAAGCTCTACTCCATGTCTGAAATAATTACACAGTAGTGGGAGAAATAAAGCATATGAACTTAACACGTGCTAAGTGCTATGAGGAACCCAGACTAGGGGTTCAGAGTTTTTCTGAAATAGGTGCCTGGTGAACTGAGTCTTAAAGAACGAGTCAGCGTTAGGACAGGAAACAGCAGGAAAGGCGTTCCAGTCAAAAGGGGGATCGGAGGCGTTAACAGCCTGGCATGTGGAGGTGGCAGCAAGGCTCCGAGGACCAGCGTAGGGGCCTCACACTGCCCTTTGCAGACACCCAGGCCCCGAGGGTGGCGATGAATAGGGGGGTGCTCTAGCATCTGCCTCCCGCGGCCTCTGGCCTGTGGCGTCTGGACACAGGGGCTGGCCTCTGCAGCCTGCTGACCCGTCTCCATGGTGCGCCCACGGCCACCTTAAAGGCCGTGCCCTACTTAGTGACCTCCCTCTCCCGCCGCCTGGCCGTTAGCCTGGGACCGGGTACTGTGAACAGACAGAACCCACACTGTACCACCTTACACCTATCAGAGCGCTTGTGTAGATATAAATTATCTCATAAACTTACAGGGTTTGTATGGGTTTGGGGGGAAATACGGGGCTATGGAACCACTCCACCTTAAGAATGTGCGTGTTCAATGGTCATTTGCAAGTTGCCCTTTAAAGCACTAGCACCTTCCACAGCTGTCTTGTTTTTTTCAGAGACATACCTATCAACTTTGCAGGCTTTGTACCAGCCGCCATACTCTCCAAAAGATGTCCCATCCTTTTGCTTTCCCTAAATTATGACAAATAATTTCAAATTAAAAATTATCTTGAAAGCAACATATCCAATCTAGAAAATCTCCCCAAACAGCACCCTCTTACTTTGCACTCTTCTCTTTCTTCAGCATGCATCCAGATGGGTTTATTTTCATCTAGGGAAGAAAACATAACACAGTAAACTGAAGCAGATAGAAGCCCACGAGCCTTAGAAGCTATCAAGTTTCAGTGATTACAAGGTTTTGTTGTTTTTCATACGTTCCTTCTTAGATATTACTTCTTACAACTTGGACAGGTGACGCTGACATGGAGAAAGCCTATGAGGATAGAACCGGACCACAAGAGACACATGATGGCCATCACGTGAGCACTGTAGGTGGAAGATGTGGAAACAAAAACCGAGATGGGCCGGCCGAGTGGCGTGGTGGTTAAGAGCTGGCTTGGGACGCCAGAGGGCGCCGGTTCAGATCCCACATATGAGGGCCAGTGACACTGCCCTCTACAGCTAAGATGCTGAACAACAGCTCAACCTGGAGCTGGGTTGCCATGAGTCGCCGGCGACGGCGTAGGCTGCAGCCCCTGTGGCAGTGGGTTGCCATGGGCTACCGTGTGTAGCCAGCAGCCAGTGTGAGCGGCCAGCAGCCGCTGTGAGCGGCCATCCAGAAGCCGGCGACTGATCTGCCTCACCTGGGAAGAGCACAATGATGACGCCAACTTGGGCCAGTGAAGCAAGGTCCTCCACAACTAGACTGAAGAACAAAAGGACAGCAACTTGCCTGTTCCCCTTCTCCCAATTCCCCAGTGCTGTTCCCATCCCCCAATTCCCCAATAAAAATCTTTAAAAAACAAACAAACAAATAAACAAACAAAAAAAAAACGAGATCAGGGAGGCAACTGTCAACAAAGCTGGACCAATGCTAGGGTCCCTATCACGAAACACTTTTAATGCTAGAATCTGCACATAACACTTGGGAGTTTTAAAATTTGAGTAACCTAGCATTAAGCAAAAGTCTTAACAAAAAGTAGTAAAATGCTGGGATAAAGGATACAGATCCTTTAAAGTCTCCTTAACTTTTGAGAACATTAACACGTATTATCACTCATCCGGAGATTCAAGACAGCTAATGTACATATACCATGGAGGATAAGCAGCCTTAAAAGTGAAGTTTATGAAAATGTTTTCATGACACGAAAAATGCTCAAGCCACAAGTATCAAGTTAAATAAGCAGCACACAGGTCAAGTATGGTTTCAGTTCCATCCCTAGATAGGCACCAAAGAAGGCAGGCCACTAAGAACGTTAAAGACGTGTGTGGGTGACTTTCCCGTCCCATGGAGCTGCCCGCAGTGAGCGCCTCTCTGGGCTCTGGAGGAAGAGGCCTGCGCTCCCACCCAGTCTTCGTTTCCTCACAACAAACCAGGTCACAGATTTCAGAGTATGTGCCCTGAGCGAGAGAGGCCCGTGAAACAGGAGGTCGTGCGCTGGGCTGAGCATACAGGACACACTGGCATCTCGCCTGAAGGAAAAATGCCTTCCATCCCTCTTTTAACATTTCTATGGAGCCTGAATCCAAGTACAGGAAAACTGCTTTTAACTGGACTTCATGCTACTATTTTTAGAAGAAGTGAGCAAATCTCAAAGAAACAAGTGCTCCCGAGAACATACTCTGTGAAAAGAAGCACTAGGAGATGGCCTGGGATCACAAGACCAGCCCCTGCAGTCAGACAAGGAGGAAAGCTCCCTGTCACCGTAACGTCCAGGGACGCGAGCGGTTACCCTGGCCTACCCACAACAGCAAACACAACCCATTTTCAGGATGATGAACCTAAGGCACAGCTATAGTGTGACAGTGAAAGAGACCTACCACTCCACTTATTAACAGAGGGGGAAAAACTAATGCACCTTCCAAAGGTTTTTCAAAGGCGGTTTCTAGAAACTCTATAAAAGAAGAAATTTATTAACCAAAACCTCTCTTTCCCTACCCATTCTAAAGTGTAGACCAACTATCCTCATTCTGAACACCTCATGTAATACCTAGTGGAGGAAAAAACCAAATGCCTCGTGTAACACACAAATTGCTTTATTGAGCAATTTAAACCCTGTAAAACATTCACTCCCAAACTGTGTATTAAGCACCTGTAATGCTTGAAGGAATATAAAGGAGGCAGGCCTTGGCTCTTCAAGACAAATAACCCAGCAGGCCTGGGATGGGTCAAGAATTTCCATTTCTGACAGGTCCCAGGTGGTGCCGATGCCTGGTCCCTGGGTTACAGAGCATTCTAGAAAGCAATGACGGCTCCAGGGAGGTTTCCAAGGATTGGTGCATCTAGGTTGTGCTTGAAGCAAGCATGGACTCCGGAAAGGGCAGCGTGAAAACCCGTGAGGCAGGTGGCCACCCCCTCACCAGGGGTGCAGACCCCACTGAGTCATCAGTGACGCCAGGCAGTACGCAGGGGTCTCCGTGTTCACTGCATGACGAGCGAGGGAATGAGCCGATGAGCGCTCGGGCTGAGCCGCAGCCCCTCCTCTAGGCGCTACTGGAAAATCGTCTCTAAAATCAACAAGTCTGTCTTGCTAATACTTGATGACTTGGCTATTACCAATTTCAAGCTGGGAAGCGCGCTGTTGAAGGCATCCTACAATTGTATCTGCTTACGAACAGGAGTGAGTTTCTTACCATCTACAGAGCCAAACTCCCTCTCATGCGCACGAGTGAGAATCTCTTTGTACAGCGTTTCTGCCTGCTTGAACTTCCCTTGCTTCAGGTAGCAGGACGCCTGGAAAAAAGCAAGCACTCGGTATTCTGCATATGCGAACGAGGCCCATTCTTACCTCCAGGTTGGATTACGACACAGTACGGATCGCAGAGACAGCATCGGGCTGCGCGCAGAGCTGCCCGTCAACGTACCAGGTTATTCTTTGTCTTGGCCACGTTGGGGTCGTCGGGCCCCAGTTTCGTCTGGTAGATGTCAAGGGCTCGCTGGTAATAATACTCCACCTCCTCGTACTTCCCCTGGTTCTGGCACAGCAACGCCAGGTTGTTTAGCTGCTTGGCGACATCAGGGTGGTCCTTTCCCAGAACCTGAGAACAAAGAGTGGTGTCAGACACACTCATTGGCTTCCTTCTATGTCATCTGCTTTGTGAGGGACCTTTCTCGGCATAAATACGATGGGGCATCACTTCCAGGCCCACGATCCGGAACTTTGTGAACTCTTATTCTTGCAGGGAGGGAGGGAGGAAAGTGTGCTGATCTCCTTGACAAGTTCTAACTGCAGTTCTTATTGTAACCATTCACGGTGCGTGCCATGATCACGCACCTCCCTAAGAGGAGGAGGCTGGCTTTCTAAAGGCTGTGCTCCTGTGACTGCCAGGTTCTAAAGAGCCCTTTCTGACCCAAACTGCTGCACTCAGCTGGTTCTGGTGAGTACAAGCCTTCAGGGGAGGTCCCCAACCCTTCAACCCCACCTGCACACCCCTTCCCATTCAGGCCCTCCTCGATCGCCCCAAGCCACTTCCCCTCACATTTCAAACTCCAGCTGTGGGGCTCCTCAAACTTGCTGCCCCAGATGCCCGATGCTCTCCCCTTGCCCCGCCCCCAACTACTCATCCTTCAGGTCACTCTTCAGGCTCCTCAGAGGGGAGAGGGGACTTCCCTCTCTCCAACTGAAGGGAGACCTCAGCACAGCCCAACCAGGTAACTCACCAACACATCACCTGGTTCTTTCCTTTCTTGGCAAATGCCACTGCCGGAAACTGTCTTGTCTGTTTAGTCTTTTACTGCCCAATGCTCACCCACTGAAATATAAGCCCCAAGAGGACAAACTCTTTGTCTCCTTCACACACATGATCTCAGATGGATGAATAAATACTAAAATATTTCCTCGGTACCTTGAACATGCAATTCATCCTCTTAACTCTGTGCCTTTACCCAGGTGGTCGCCAAGCAGGCATGCAGTCCTCTCACCCTTTCCAGCATTCCCTCTCTCCCTGCCTGGGAAACACTGAACTCAGTCATTTAAGACTCGGTTCAAACACTAGCCCTGGACTTGGAGGTGCCCCGGTTCTCAGCTCTCCTCGACCTCCATCCTAGAAACCAACGCACCCTGTGTTCCCAAGTCTGTCTGCTGGTCTGAACTCTAAGGAAGTTACATCTCTAATCGGTAAATCACCAACTCTAATCAAGCAGGGTCCCCAAGTCCTCAATGAACGTTTGTACACGAATGAATGAAAGAGCACATACATGTGACTGGGTCTGGCAGACCATCGTACGAAGTTTGTAATCCCTCATTCCATACTTTTCTGTTCTCTGATTTTAACCTCAGTCCCACAAAACCCAACCATTTTATTTCATAAATATGCAGATAGTAGCATGACAAAATATTACCTGCGTGACTTATAACGAGCCCCTCTTCATTTTCCCTTTCCCAATTCCTTACCATATGGCTCAAAACTATACAAACTGTAGCAGTTGGTATTAAACAGCCAGGACATTGACTTAATCTACAGCTCTGAATTAATCTTTAGTTCTGAAAACAATTATTTCATTTTTGAAAGCTGTGTAAGCATATTTGGTGACTTTACTTTTAAATGTTAATTTTTTTTTTTAGCTGAGCCATCCTGCCACCTGTTGGCAGCTCAGCAGCTGCTCAGCTCAGGCCGGGAATCGAACCGCTGTTGCTCAGAGCTCACACTCTTGAGCGAGCTCTTAACCAACTGAGCCATTCGGCCGGCCCTTAATGTTTTTCTTATCGACAGGCACATGCCCTACTGTCAAATGAGCCTCCACCCTCAGCAATTTCTCCTTCAACAGTCACTTCCAGGCCACTTCAGGCTGGGGGGCATGCAGACACGGACACCACCCTCTGAGTACCTCGACCTGCACGGCCAATGTGGCCGTCCACCTCACTGAACAAGTTATTTTCAGTACATTGCCAGTCATGACATATCACAGGGGTCACTTCTCGAAGCTGGAGGCTGAAACCCGGAAGGAGCACCTTCTCTCTGATCTCCAGCGCTCTCTTACACAGCGGCTCCGCTTCTCTGTACTTCCCCCTCTTGCCGTAAAGCACCGCGAGGTTGTTCAGGGTCGCTGCCACCTACCAACACAGAGGGAACCACAAGGAATGGTGAGTGACACCCAAGAAGCGTGCACAGTGACATGCTCCTGCTGGGCGAAGGGACATGAATTCCGCCACAAGCAAGAGAGCCATTCACAGGGACGTAGATTACACAAAGGAACAAGTCAACAGCAACACGCTCTTCATTCTTTCGCTTTGATTTGAACCTAGCAGGCAGGTTAGATGGACAGTGGAGAATCGCATTCTTTGGTCTTGATTTTGTTTTGTAATTTCATTGGAAGCCACAAAGCCAACCAAACAAATCTGTACGCAAATCTGACCAGATTTTAATAAAAAGACGATATAAATCCTTTAGGAAAAAATTTGTAGAAGTGCATGCAATTTGATTTAGGATCCAAAATACAGCACGCGGCCTTCCTGAGGTGGTGGCCACGACCAGATTACGGTGCGCGGGCACAGGGGCTGATCACTGGGTGAGGTAGGAAGGCCCCTACCTGTGCCATCTAGTGGAAAGGCAGCTCTTAAACCTTCCCTGTTGAGTTTAATATTAAAATGAGTTGGGTAAAAAAGACATCAGGGAATATAAAATATAAATATAGAAAGAATAAAAGCAGCAGACACACGAACCGCGGGATGATCTTTGCCCAAGGTCTTTTCGCGGATGGCCAAGGCATCGTTCAGAAGGTTAGCCGCATCTTTGTATTTGTTCTGGTCTCTAAAATATAAAGCAAACATTAAGCGTTTCAGACGCAGCTTACGTCTTTTCACAATGTATTTTGGAACTACTGAAACAAAGTTAAGCTTCAACCGATTAAAAAATAAGCCAGCTATTAAGACGGCTAAAAACAGCCCAGTGTGGGAGAGAGGCTGCCTGGCAAGGCGACGAGCTGAGCCCAGCCCCCACCTAGACCAGCGGGTGACACTGTCCACACCACAGTGGGTCCTGCACGTGCCCATAGCCCCGCACAGCCCAGAGCAGTGGACAGAGCTTTGTATGGGGTCAGATGAACTGATTCCAGTGTCAGAGCCACACACTGCCAGTTAGTGGCTGCGTGGTAGCTCTGGGACATTAGGTGGCCTCCTGCAGTCCCAGTGGACCCATCAATAAAGTATATTACCTAACTCACAGAGTTGCTGTAAGAAGCTAATGATATGCTACACGTGTACTGAAAAAACTTTGCTAAAAATAAGCAAAATACATTGCAGTCTTAATCTGGTACACAATTTGCCCCTTGCTGGAGAAAGGAGGAATGAAGGCTCTTTGTGGCTGTGGTGAGATAGAAACACCACCAGTCTCAACCCCTGGGATTAAGGGTTCCAACTGACAATGTGACTACAAACAATTTATTTGCTTGGCTAGACTTAGTACACGTATTTCTCAACTGAGTAAAAACAGTTGCCCAGCAAGGCTCTGCCCCCTCAGAAGCCAGACTGCCCTGCAGAACATGGAAGGTGCTTGTAAGATTTATAGGACCACTGAAGCACATCAATTCTGGCCAAGTATACCTTTTTCTTCTTCAATCATCCTATTACACACTATAAACTGGCTCAAAGTTTTTGTGCAAGTCAGCAAGTATGAAATAGTTTCAAAAACTAGTAGCCAACTGCCTAGGAGTGTTGTGACAGCTAAATGAGATGAGGTACACTGATCCCTCTCATAAACTGTGATGTGTCATAGAATGTCAGAGACTATTAATTAGCCAGTGTCAAGATCACACCAAGAGCTATTCACTCAGGTGTGGCCCCCACCAATGGCAATCAGCTTCATCTGAACCCTGTCAGAAACCAGCCCCATCCCAGACCTGCTGAGTCAAACTCTGGGGACGAGCTGGCACTCACTTAACAAGCCCACCAGGAAATTCAAACTCAAAATGAAAACACGAGTACACCACCGCAAGCATTAAAATCCTAACAGAAAGTGGGTAAGATAACGGAACACTCAAGAGAAAGGCACAAATGACTAAAAATGTATAACCAAATAAGTACAAATTCAAATAGGATGCTGCAGCTCTCTATTAGTAAGACGCAGGAGACGGCCAAGGCTGCCCAGATGGGTAATGGTGAGCGGGAGCATGGGCTGGCTCCAGCCTCTGGAAAAGCAGTTGGTGAGATGTACCAAGTGTAAAAGATTTCTACTCGAACCTGTTCTAGGAACAGATCCTAAAAATAATCCAAAATCCTGAGCAAAACTTACAAAGATGTTCATCAGTGTATTATTAATGTCCCTTAATACAGGAATGATGACATAATTACAGTACAGCTACAGGATGCAATATTGACTATAAATCTGAGTACGTGTGTAGCTAATTTTTTTTCATACGTTTTACTGACATGAGTAATCTCACACTACCGTGTTCAAGTGAGGCCACAGGCTTCCCGGGACCCAGCACAGTGGTACATTTGTGACCACACACGTTCTTGTACGACAACGGCAAAAAGCCAGTTATGTCCTACATGCCTTTTCTATTTAACTCATTTATAATAATATCGAGTGTTGGCCAGAAACTCTCAGGTTGTTAGTAGGCATATACATTTGTGAAAAAAACTTTTTGGAATGAATTTTAGCATAATCTATCCAGATTTTAAATGCAAATCCCTGTGAGTAAGGAATGCATACAGTTTAACAGTAAAAATCTGCGAACAACCGAAATGTCTATCAACAGGAAACTGTCTCAAAAATTCAGGAATACCCGTAACACAGAGTACTATGCAGTCATGAAAAAGGCTGTCCTGCTGACAAGCACAGAGCTGCTGAAGTGCTGTTACGGGAGTTGACTTTCTTTTTTGTGTTTTTTAAAGAAATCCCTTATCTATGGATGGCTGGTTGCATTACTCCATTTCTCTTCATTGAGCCTGTTTCTCCTTTACTTGCACACTGCCCCTTTCCTTACTCAGATTCCCATCTGCACCCCCCACCCCAAGATCCTACACGAGCCCCCTACCTCAGGCTCCCTCCACATTCTGTCCTGTGCACCTCACCAAAGTGACTTCTAAGACACAGCCCAGAGCCCGCTGTTCCCCACAGGTGCCCCACAGCCAGCCCTCGGGGCCTCCCTGGCTAGCCCAGCCCCTGCCAGCCCCACCTCTTACTACTACTCTTCAGGTGCCAACGAGTGCTGCCAAACTGGGTTCAGGAGTGTGCCCCAGACACACCCATCTCCACGTGCTAAAATCCTACCCACCCTTCAAGGCCCAGAAAGTACTCCCAGCCGCCACTAATCCTTCCCCAATCCTCTCAACTAGAAGGAACCTTTCTGTGCACAAGCACTTCTGTTTTCTTTTACTCACACTGCTGTAGTCTCCTGCCTCTGGAATAACATATGAATGTAACAGCCTGTTTTCTGAGCAGGGTTTTAAGTTCCTTTAGAAACACATTGAGACACTGCTCTCTGAACATGTCATGTCTGCCAGGCAGTAGCGGGTGTCACATCACCACAATCCTTCCCTTGGCCTCTGAGCAGGCGTTCTACCTACCACCATTTTCCACAGCAGGAAACTGAGGCTCAGACAGGTAAGGGCTCCGGACGACACCGAGTGCCTAGTGGCCACTTAGCTGACACAAACTGAATCCTCCTGACTTCTAGTCAGTGATCTGGCTCCTCCTTCAGAAAGGGAATTCCGTACTCGTCCTTAGGGCCTCGGGGAACCGCCCCAAGTCTTGGGTCTCAAAAGTGTTTGCTGAATTGAAACAGTCAAACTAACCAAGAGAAATGAAGCAGGTAACTGAGCCCCACACAACTGGAATGGCCACAGGAAGCCAAGTCCTGCTGTGTCAGTAATGTCTCCCTCCTCGGTCCCCTGTTCACCTGATCTGCTCTATTTCAGGCTAGTTCAGCGAGAAGCTTCAAGCGGACAAAGGGACCCAACGCCATAGGGCAGACTATTTGCTTCCATTCACAGTGTTTACCAAGGGCATCTACATTAGGAAGCATGCAGGGGGATTCTAGAGGTGGGCACGAAGACAACCTGGTCCTCAACTCCCAGGACTCACGACCCGGGAGGGGAGAGAACATAATTCTAATGAGCCCGAAGCCAAGCGTGACGTGCAAGTGTTACAGGACAGGTGGGGGACAGGTCGAGTGGAGCCTGGATTCCAACAGGAGAGGGCGCTCACAAGGCCCCAGAAGGTGGGGAGGGTGCCGGCAGGCATGACCGGGGCACAGAGTCTTGGGGAAAGACATCAAGAGTTTAGTTTGACCAGAGTGAAGGGCACATGTGGGCTATTCTAGAAAGGCTGAGCTGGGAGGCTCCGGCAGCACCTGTTCCAGAGTGGCCCGCTCGCCACAGAGCTTGCTAAATGTTTTTAATTTAACCGCTGGCTATTTGAAAGAAGTGGATGATAAAGTCAGAAAAGTAGCTCCTATGGGCATATAAAAACATTTTCAGGGCAATGCATGAAGAGGATCAAGTGAAAACTACTAGCCTGTACACCAGCGCCAGGATGTTCAGCATGGTGGCCACATCCGGGTGGTCGTGGCCAGAAGTCTTCTCCAGGTCCTCCAGCGCCTGCTTGCAGAGGGGCACGGCCACCTCGTAGCGGCCCTGCGAGGCGTACTGGATGACCAGGTTGTGAAGGGTGCGCAGCCGCGCTGGAATCTCGTAGCCGCCCTGCTGGGCAGCGGCCGCTGCACTGCTGTGCTGCTGCTGAACTACAGAGAGATGTCACTTCAGAGGTGCCCAGAGACCATCCAGACCCCACCCGGTAACAGCTTCCTTCTCTAGCTTTGGTCCAGGTCAGCACGCGGTGCCCACGCCACAGAAACCCACCCACACTCCTGAGGCAAGCTGGGTAAGATCATAACTGGTTGGGGTGGCACAATGGCTCCAACGGTGCAGTGACGCTGCTCTCAGCACCAGGAAAACTAATTCTGCCTTTCTCAGTCTGCAAGAATCCACAGATGGCAGCTGGGCTGCGTGTCCATGGCCGTCTCCTAGGGGCTGGTCTAACTGTCACTACACCCCAACAAGAAAACTATCTGAAACTCTTTGGGGAACACAAGGCACGACTGGGCATGTGCTCCTGCAAGGCAGGCAGCACGCACAGAGGCCCACGAATCACCGGGCATGCTAACATCGAACCGCCGCTCCCCACTTACTTCCTTGGCCAGGGTCATCGTCATCATTCGGGAAAAGGTCATCCAGAGGTTCTTTGGTGGAGTCAGTGTCTTTGTCCTCCTGCAAGACCGACCCAGGACAATCTTAGTCTTACGAGTACTATAAATCTTGGACTGTAAACCTTTGATATAAACTTCATGTTATTAAGTCTTAGAAAAGACGGTCCATTTTTCAGATCCAATGTAAGATTATCCACAATTTGGCTTATCCATCAATCTAGTAAAGAATGCTAAAAGCCTTGCCTGACTAGAATTCAAAACACTAAATGCAGGCCAGAGTTGGTCAAACAGACCATGATGGCATCTCTATGCTTCAGAGTCTTCTGTTCTGAGGAAGTTCAAATAGAGCACGGAAACCCTTAGTTGAAACAAATTTTATTTGAAAACCAAGTACGTAAAAACCTGAAAATAGCACATCTGTATGCCATCACAGCCTGGAGGCTCTATTCGCCCCTCCCGCCCACCACCTCCACCCAGGACCCAGAGCACTCGGAAAACTCCCAGCTGTCAAAGCCGGGGGAACTCAGGTCTCCACAGCCCCGTGGTTTGTGCATGGTCAAAAGAGTGACCTCGATATACTCGAGAAGAAACATCACAGTCCCAACTGAGGAAGGACTATGGAGTACTGGCTATACTCCTCTAAAGGACCAATGTCATGAAAGACAGACTTTCATTGGAAATGACTTCTTCCAGAGGAAAGACGGCTAAAAAGACGTGACAATTATGTGCAATACGTGACCTTGAACTGGATCATGAACTGAAGTGAAAAAAATGCTACAAGGATTCTGTTGAGACAATTAACAAAAGCAGAATATGGACTGCAAAGCAGATGAAGTGCTGTACCTATGTTACATTTCCTGAACTTGACCCTGGCCCTGGATTCCATGGGAGAGTGTCCTCATGCTCAGAAAATGCCCCCAGCAACAGCAGGGAAATGTGGCAGGAGATGTGAGACCAAGGTTCGGAGAACAACTGCTCATGTACACCCTGAAAGGGGAGGCACAGTTATTCACTGTATCTCTTCTCCATGCTAGACAGGTTTTCAAAGTAACAGTCTGACAGGCCTGAGGTGTGAAGCCAGCCTCCCTGCCCAACATTATACAGTATTCTGGTGAACCACTGGCTGGCACCAACAGCTCCATTCATTCTTATTCCCATAGCAGCCTACAGCAGTATGTCTTTTAAATCAATACATTTAATTGCTCCTGACCTAGAGATGCATGGAAGAAAGAGTAAGCCTAATGAAACAGGGTGCTAGGAACTGTGTCCCCCCAAAATCTTACATTGAATTCCGTAACCTCTGGTGTGGTGGTATAAAGACCAGGTCTTTGGAGGGAATTAGGTTTAGGTGAGGTCACGAGGGTGAGGCCCTCATGATGGGATTCGTGCCACCAGAAAAGTGTGTTTTGCCCCCACCCCACCCCACCATGTGAGGCCCCAGCAAGAAGGAGGCCTTCTGCAAGCCAGGAAGAGAATCCTTGCCAGAAGCCAACCGTGCTGGCACCCTGATCGCGGACTGCCAGCCTCCAGCACTGAGCAGTGTCTGCTGTTTAAGCCGTGCAGTATTCGGTATTTAGTTATGGCAGCCCCGGCTGACTAAGACGCGGGGTAGTGTAAGGGACAATGCAATGCACAGGCCATTCCAATAGTCTTAGGATGCAGACGCCATGTGGAACTCCCTGGCACACAGGTTATGCAGTGAACATGCCTAGGGCCACGCAGGCATCTAAAAAACACTAGTTCAGAATGCAGTGTGGAACCTGAGGGAAACTGGGTAGAGGGTAGATGGAAATTCTCTTTACCATCTTTTCCACTTCTCAGTGAATCTAAAATGAAAAGGGTTTTTTTAAAAGTTAAC